ATTTGCTATTATCCACCAATCACTCACCTCTAAGCATGAGTATGTTGGTACATATGTGTAAAACTATAAGCCTTGTAGTCTAGTTTCTAGTGTATCTGATCACTTAGGTGTAGAGTATGTCTCGTGAATATAACCTGCACTTCCCCCTCCATTATTTTGTTTTTAAAGTTGCATACAAAGTAATAGGTTTCCTAGTGGTAATTTCATACAAATATATCATTGTACTTTGCTCATATTCTCTCCTTTATGTCTCCATTCCTGCCTGGCCCCTCCCTACAAATAGCTACTGCTGGGGTTTCTTTTAAGTTTTCTGGATTTTAAATCAATATCAAGAGGAAAGTTGTTATGAGGCAAAAATGATGAGGTTTTACGAAATGAAATCTTACTCTACTAATAATAGCCTGAGAATAATTTTCTGAAGGAAGGATGGGGTTCACTATGGATTTCACTAAGGAAATAAAATCAAATTGGAAGGTTATGATGAGACTATTTGATTATGAGTAGTCAGTCATAGAGTTCATTGTAACACCTATACTAGAAAAGGGGTTGCAGATTTGAATGATTAAATAATGTAGAATTCTAGTGGTATGGAATACCACGTAGTCATTAAGAAGAATGAAATGGGGATAGAGAGATGCTCAATGGTTAAGAGCACTGGCTGCTCTTGCAGAGGATCCAGGTTTGTCTCCCAGCACCCACATGGCGACTAACAGTTGTCTGTAACTCCAGTTCCAGGGAATCCAATGCCCTCTTCTGGCCTCCGCCAGCATTGCTTGACACATGCACTTTTATCAATGCAAGCAAAACATTCAAACATAAAAATAAGGAGCTGGGGAGATGGCTCAGCAGTTAAGAGCACTAGCTGCTCTTGTAGAGGATCCAGGTTCCGTTCCCAGCACCCACATGCCAGCTAACAACCATCTGAAACTCCAGTTCTGACCTCCATGGGCACTGCATGACACAGGTACACTTAGATTCTTGCAGGCATAGCACTCATACAAACCTGCATACAAGTAAATAAAATTAAAATAAATATAAATAAATAAAAATTTTAAAGTAAATAAAATTTTAAAAAGGAATGAAATGAATCTAAAAGCATTAATGTTTTGAAAATAATCTTATTAGACTGAAAAAAGTAATCTACAAAACAATGTATAGTATGCACCTACTATATTTTAATTTATATTTGGGGGTATAGTTACATTCATGCAAAAGCATAAATAGAGTATGCTTCTAAAAAGGTCTGGAAAACTATATGCTAAGTTTGTAACCATAGTTACCTATGAAAAAGAATGTGTGGAATTGGGAACTGAAGAGTTGTCAAGGGCGACCATTGGGTTTCTAGTCTCTGTTTTTAAACAGTTACAATTTTTTGGCAGCAAACAGCTATGTATTGCTTATATAATTTTTAAAATGCTAGAAAAATTGGGAACAGGTTGGGGGGCTGTAATCTACATAGGCTATCCTCAATGCCAGGTTTAATTCCTTCGTTCTTTTTTCGGGTTTTAGACCTTTGGCTCTTGTCATCCAGCAAAAAATATATGCACATATATAATTTTCAGCTGGCAGAAGCACAGCTACAGTTTCAGTTCCAGTTCCTTTATGTAAGTTTCTATTTAGGGAGCCTTAAATAATTGATGTCTAAGAAGTTTCATGCCATTGCCTTTATACAGTCTCATTCAGGAAGCTTTGGATGGGGAAGTATAGAGCAGGGGAAATTGTTAAACCAAGGAAGGTTTGGCTTATTCTGTATCTCTTGTGTTGATCTCTTCCCTAGGGGATTCTGTGCTCTTGTACTTAAATGTGAAATTAAACAGCAGGTAAATACTCTAGGTTAGTTATAGCCCCGGCCCCCAACTAGAAAAGATAGTTCAGTGCCATTAACTGCTGGTTAAATCTGAGACAGACAAGCTGTTTCACAGCTGCCACATGTGTATTAACTAGCTGTCACTTTACAAATATATGAAAATGGGCATCCAGAGAAAGAGAACTTAGGTGGCTATCATTGCAATTCCATCACCACATTTTTAATGTACTGTAGATGTAAACTCAACTTTTCCATCTGTACTTTACTTGAAATGTTTTAGTTTTAATTAGTGATGTTTATCTTGTTCTTCGTTCATTCCATAAGTATATATAGACAGGTAAGCTGGGTGTGTTGATGCACCTATGTCATCCCAGTACTTTGGAGGTTGAGACAGGAGGATAACAAGTTCAAGGACACCCTAGGCTTCATGTGCAACCTTGTGCCAAGAAGGAAATCAAATTAGAAGAGACCATGAAAACCATCCCTCAACTCCTCCCATTCATTCCATGTTAACATTTAACAGCCCTTCAGAAACTGGGGCAGGAGGATTACTTTGAGTTTGAGATCAGCCTGTGTAATAGAGTTAAGGCTCTGTTTCAAAAAAAGGAAAAACATCAGCAAATGGCAAATGTATAAAAAGATTTATTGAAGAATTCTTTGTTTGGAAAAACTTAAGAGCAACTTGTATGGAATAGTTTTTTTTAAAGATCTGGAAAGCTCTGGTATTTTATTCCTATTTATTTTTGAGATAGGGGTCAGGCTGACCTTGAACTCAGGATCCTTCTGCTTCAGCCTCCTGGTGCTGAGATTACAGGCACACATTATTATACACAGCATTTTGAAGTAAGTCATTGATCTGTTTTAAAGTGACTCGTAACCCTGTGCTCCCAGCTTCTTGGGAGGCTGAGGCAGGAGGATTGCTTGATTCTAGAAGTTTAATATCAGTCAGGCAAAATAGCAATAGCAGGACCTTGTTTGGGGGAAGTTATTGGTTTGTTTGGTTGGTTGGTTGGTTGTTTTTTTGGTTGTTTTTTTGGTTGGTTGGTTAGTTGTTGTTTTGTCTTTTACAATAGGTCTTATGTAGCCCAGGCTGACCTCAAACTCACAGTGTACCCGAGGATGATCCAATTCTCCAACTTCTACTTTTAGAGTATAAGGATTACAGGAGGAGTGGCTTTAAAAAAAAATTAATAAGAAATAAGTAAAGGAAATCATAAGCTAAGATTGATAAGAAACAAGCAACAGCGGGGTTTAATGACACACCTTTAATCTTAGCCCTTCTGAGGCAGAGGCAGGCAGATCTTTGAAGTTGAGGCCAACTCGGTCTACGTAGCAGGTTTTAGGTACATAGTGAGACCCTGTCTAAAAAGAAAAAACAAAGAGAAACAAAACAAATCTTTGTCTTGTGATTAGTCTTTCTCACACGCTTTTTATTTCTCAACAGATAGGGAAGTCCTTGGAGATTTCTTTTGATAATTGGCAGTGTCATTCTTTAAAAAGATAGAGAAAACTGAAAAACTTAGGGCAATTTTTGAAGCAAATAAAGGATTCATCTGGGCTCTGAGCTCTAATACAAACCTTAATCTTATAGGATTTATATGGAAAACCAGAATTCTCTAATTCTCTGTGTCATTACTGCAATGCCATAGCAGCACGTGCTTTCTCATTCCTTGTATATTTGGACCTGATGTGGTTACAGCTTCTATACTAGCAGTAATGTCTATTTCCTACACGAGCTGTCAGCAGTTTGAGGAAAACAGAATATCTTACTTACAGCCTTTTATCTTGCAGTACTTTTAAAGAAGTAGGGATTTTTGTTGTTGTTTTGGGGAGCGGAAGGAGGGGTTTGTACTTGCACATATGTATGCCGGTATACATGCCTGTGTGAAGGCCCAAGGAAGACATTGGGTATCTTCCTCTGTTGATTTCCACTTTTATTTTTCTTTTTGATACAGGATCTCCCACTGAACTTTAAACTCACCATTTTACCATTTTGGCTAGGCTGGCTGGCCAGCCATCACCTCCTGGGACCTGCCCTCAGTGTTGGGGTTACAAGCATGTGTAGCCATGCCCAACTTTTATGTGGGTGCTAGAGATTCGACCTGGGGCCTTTTGCTTTCATACCAAGCACTCTTACTCAGAGCTGTCGCCCTGCCTTGTTTTGTTTTTAAGACAGGGTCTCACTGTATTCTAAGCCAACTTTGTCCTAGAGTTCTTCCTGCCTCTGCCCCCTGAATGCTAGAATTACAGGCATGACTACTACCATATCTATCTTAAAGAAATTCTAATCAGGGGCTGGAGAGATGGCTCAGCAGTTAAGCACACTGGCTGTTCTTGCAGAGGACCCGGGTGTGAGTCCCAGCACCCATGGCTAACAACTGTCCAACTCCAGTTCCAGGGGATCCAGCACCTTCTGACCTCCATGGGCATTGCATAACATGGGTGAACTTACATGTATGCAGGCAATACACTCATACACATAAAATAAAAAAAAATTTTTTTGTCTTTTTGAGACAGGGTCTCCCTGTAGCCCCAGCTGTCCTGGAACTATGTAGACCAGGCTGGCCTTGAACTCAAAGAGATCCGCCTGCCTCTGCCTCTTGAGTGCTGAGATTAAAGGCGTGCGCCACTATGCCCAGCGATAAAATATTTTTAAAAGATCTAAGATGGGGGCTGGGTGTGGTGGCGCACGCCTTTAATCCCAGCACTCTGGGAGGCAGAGGCAGGGGGATCTCTGTGAGTTCTAGGCTGGCCTGCTCTACATAGTGAGTTCCAGGACAGCTGGGGCTACAGGGAGACCCTGTCTCAAAAAGACCAAAAAAAAAAAAAAACTAAGATGGAAAGATACAGTTTGTAGAAAAAGAAGACAAAAATTTTAAATATCTTGGATGATTTACAAAAGAGAATTTGAATGTGGTAAACTTCCAAAAAGACTTTTCTGTTGCCTGGCGGTGGTGGTGGTTTGTTTGTTTGTTTGTGTTTGTTTGTTTGTTTGTTTTTTATTGGCTGCCATTTTCAAACGTGTGTAAGGGGTTCTGATAACACTGCCTCCCTTCTCTTGTCCCCTCCATCCCACACATCCTCCTACTTTCATGTCTTTTGGTTTTGGTTTTGGTTATGTGCCTAGTGTTCTTGACTTAAGCAGCTTTTTTTTTTTTTCTGGAAATGACTTCCTAATTCCTTTCTTTTCCAGATTGCAAAAGTAGAAAAACTCAAACCCTTGGAGGTAGAGTTACGACGCCTAGAAGACCTTTCTGAATCAATCGTTAATGATTTTGCCTACATGAAGAAACGGGAAGAGGAGATGAGAGATACCAATGGTGAGGGGAAAGTGCCTTTTATTTCTCAGTAAGAACTCTGAAGGGGACAGATCTCAAGTACCCTTTTTCTCAATGTTAGTAAAGTACAACTTAGGGAAAGAAAATTGCTTGCCTTAGTGCTATTGTTACTGAAAGGTAGATCAGCTGGTTAGGTATTCAGGAGAACAGAATCATCTTCTATGATATATAATTGACCATATTCTCATTTGGTTTGTAGCAAATAGATAGCACTAATCTTTGCATTTTAACATTTTAAATAGGAGTGCTAGAAGAACTCGGTGCCTTGTGCATGCTAAGAAAGCTCTGTAGATTTGAGCTACCTCCCTAGCCATTGCTTTATTTAAAAAAATATTTTTATTTTATTTATATAATAAATGTATTGCCTTCATGAATGTAAGTGCACCCGTGTCATGCAATGCCCAGGAGGTCAAAAGAGGGCATCAGATTCCCTTGGAACTGGAGTTATGGTACGGATGGTTGTTAGCCACCATGTGGGTGCTGGGAATTGAACCCAGGTCCTCTGCAAGAGCAGCCAGTGCTCTTAACCACTGAGCCATCTCTCCAGCCCTAGCTATTGCTTTTTAACAGGGTCTTGCTATGTAGCCCAGGCTGGCCTGGAACGCAAGATCCGCTTGCCTTAGCCTCCCAAGTGCTAGGATCAGAGGTGTGTTGCTACCATGCCCATCCTTTTTTTCCTTTTTGTCTGAATTCCTAGTCTTAGATTTAGGGACAGAGTGAGGTTAATTGTCTTTTACCCCTGGCCATTGTTTAGCCAACAGAAAACTTCATTACATTCACAGTGTTTTTGTTTTTTTAGAGTCAACAAATACCCGGGTCCTGTACTTCAGCATCTTTTCAATGTTCTGCCTCATTGGACTAGCTACCTGGCAGGTGTTCTACCTACGTCGCTTCTTCAAAGCCAAGAAGTTGATTGAGTAATGAAGCTGTCTTCTGCCCCAGTGTAACTTAGCCAGTAGAACACCACTGGGACACCTGGCTTCACCCAAGACCATCCTACCAACAGTACCATCAAGGCACAGTGGGGATTTCTTGCCAGAACTGATTTCTTTTGGTGTGGGAGAACATGGGGCACAAACTTCACAAGTCAACGAGGACTTACTTCTTTTTAAGTTGGTAGGCTTTGGACTGGTTTTGCAACAAGATTATTACTAAAGTCACCTATGGGGGCAAAAAAAATAGGGGTTACCTAGATAATGCCAAAGCTAGCATTTGTCCTGGGTTTCCTCGTGTGAGCTGTTTGAGCTGTTTGCTTATTTCTCCCATTTGCTCATCACCTTTGTCTTTCGCTCTAGTTCTTTTACCAAGATTTATGCGACCATGTTGAACTTGTTTCAGACCTGTTTCTTCTTTGGGTTTCCTTGTGAAAATACCCTGAACTTTCTTGGCCCTTAGCTGAAATGTTTACATAGCTTCTGGTGATATCCTTTCAGAATTTTATGTCTCTTCAAAGGGTCATGGATGGGACACCTCATACAAAAACAGTGAGCTTTGAACTGTAGATAAACTCTTAAAGAAAAAAAATCTTTTTAGACAATTAAAATATTTGTGTTCTCAACTGCTTAGAACTCTTTGTGTATGTGTGTTTCATGTGTAGATTCATGTGATCATTGCAAGATACAGTATAGTTCCATCACGTGGATTCTTTATACTGACTTTTTTTTTTTAATAGCCACAACCTCAGCCTCTGATTACTACTGGTCTGTTCACCATTTCTAGATCTTTATTATTTCAAAAATGTTATATAAAGTGGAATCTTTTGAGATTGGCTTTTTCTGTTCAGCACAGTTCCCCTGAAATCCCCATCCAAGTTGTTGCATGCATTAATAGTTTGATCTTTTTTATTGCTAATACTACTCCATGGTTATGTATGGTACTGCCTTGTGTTTAGTCATTCACCCGCAAAGGACACATGAGTTGGTTTGGGATTTTGGTCCTTAACTAGTAAAGTGTCTCTGAACATTCTTAATATAGGTTCTTATGTGAACGTAAATTTTCATTACTCTGGGATAAATGCCCAAGAGGACAATTGTGTTGTGTGATAAGCACATTTAGTTTTTAAAGACACTTCCCTACTCTTTTTGTCTGGAGTGGTTATACCATGTTACCTTTCTGCCAGCAGTGTGTCCTGATCCAGCTTTTCCGTATCTTCATTAACGGTTCGCTTACGCTGTTTAACTTAGCCAATTGAATAGTGCCTGTAACGTCTCATTATGATTTGATTTGCATTTTCCTAGTGGTAGAATGGTGTTGACCATCTTTGCATGTGTTTGTCATTTGCCACTTGTATGTCTTCTTCAGTAAAATGTCTATTAATGTCTTTTATCCATTTTCTACTTGGATCATTTGTTCTCGTCACTTTTCTTTGGGGGGGGGTTCCTTAAATATCCTAGATGGAGGTCCTCTATCAGATGTGAGGTAGCTTCTAAGAAGGAAGAAAAGTAAAATTTACCAACACTTCATGCATGGCCACTCACTGACCTAATTCCTGCCCCTATGTGTTATCTCTAGAATATTGAACATAGGAGATTTAAAATAAACATAAGAAAGTCACAGATTGAGTAAATACTTGAAAATCCATGTTATGAAAGCAAAGCCAAGGATCATTTGTGGCCAATACTAATGTACAAAAGAGAAAATGTGCCAGGCATGGTGGCGCACTCCTTTAATCCCAGCACTCAGGAGGCAGAGGCAGGCAGATCTTTGTGAGTTCCAGGACAGCTGGGGCTACAAGGAGACCCTGTCTCAAAAAGACAAATAAAAAAAGAGAAAAGGTGAGGCTGGGAGTGTAACTATGGTAGAGTGCAACTATGGTAGAGTGCTTGCCTCCCACGTGCATTGTTCTCTAATCCTCAGCAATGAAAGAAAAAGAAACAAATGTTCGTAAACAGGAAAAATGTATCTGTTATCATCTGAAATCTTCCCGCTTCTCCCAGGGAAGTAGGTAAGAGTTTACCCTTTCTATCTCTTTTAACCTACTGACCTGTCACAGGGCTTGTCTTAATTGTAGTGGTGAGAATGCAGGACTTAGGCCCATGTACTTGCTGTAAAGAAGTGGAATATTTAAACTATCAGAGAACACTGTTCTGTCAATCTGGACTAAGTACAAAGGTGAAAGGGGGAATGATATATGTTGTTAGAACCTCAGGCTATTCTGTTAATGTTCCAGTTACTGTAAACCCAAAAGCCTCCTTTTTCTTATGACTCCCGTAAATTCCTCTTGAATGGCCGAAAGTGGTTCTCTGGTTAACGTGTACAACATTGCCATCTGCTGTTGAGAAGTGATGGGGACAGCAGGTGCTCAGAAAGTCATAGTAGTACATATATCAAACAATGGAGGAGCAATTCAAGTAGGGAAAGAATAAACAGATTTATGGGTTAAGGTCCATCCTTAGACTTCTAAATGCAAAACCTTAGTCTGTACCATTAGCCCAACAAGAGACTCATATTTCTGACTTGTGCCTTCCCTGCTAAAAGGAACAATGGAAGCTACTGTGTTACAGTTTTCTGTTCTGTTGTCAAAGAAGGTAGGAGAAAATAGGATGTCCATATTTTTGTTCCAAAGCACAACTCTAACCCCAAGCTTTGTAGAATTGAAAGTCTTGCATTTCGAGTTCCTTCCTTTGATTCATGCCAAAATTAAACAACTTGGACATTTATGGGTTTGGTTTAAAAGTTAAGTGAAGAACCGGGCATGGTGGTGCACACCTTTACTCCCAGTATTTAGGAGGCAGAGGCAAGAGGGTTTCTGTGAGTTCAAGGCCAGCCTGGTCCATATAGAGAGTTCCAAGCCAACAGGGGGACCCTGTTTTTTTTAAAAAAAAAAAAAAAAAAAGTTAGGCTGGGTGTGGTGGCTCACACCTTTAGTCCCAGCACTTGGGAGGCAGAGGCAGGAGGATCTCTGAATTCAAGGCCAGCCTGATATACAATAGTGAGTTTCAGGCCAGCTGGGGCTACAGAGAGACCCTGTCACAAAAAGACCAAAAGAAAAAAGTTAATGGAAGAGTTTTTGCCTCTGACAGCAGGCTAGTTACAAAAACAAATCAGCTCTATGAACAGGGTGTTATCTGCTTCCCTCCATTTTCAGCATATTCAAAGTGATCTGAGAATACAGTCTCCATAAGCCTTGTTATATATCCATTGTCATGAGCCCCTGTCAAAACCATTTTCTGTTTGTGTAATGGAAACAGGCCTGTGGGGTTTATGCAAACTCACATGTAAGTGTTGGATTGGAGATTTTTTGTGTAAATTTTCACAAATAAAGGCTAGCAGAAACCATTTTAGGTGTATTTTTCTCTTCATCGTAAGTCCCTCTGTCTGTATTAGCAAAGCTCTGTTTTTTAAATACAGCAAATGATACCTGATAAATTAAAGAAATAATATTTTCCTTAATATATTCCAGATGGACAGTTTATATGTTAACCTGTAAAAGTTTGTTATATGTGTAACAAATTGTTTACATATATAATCATTCTTTTTTTAAAATATTTTATTATTTTTGTGTGTATGTATTGCATGAATGTAAGTAAGTGCACCCGTGTTGTGCAATGCCCGTGGAGGACAGAAGAGGCTGTTGGATCCCCTGGAACTGGAGTTATGGACAGTTGTTAGCAGCCATATGGGTGCTGGGATTCGAACCTGGGTCTTCTGCAAGAATAGCCAGTGTTCTTAACCACTAAGCCATTTCTCCAGCCCCAATCATTTTTAAGTATATGTCCTCAGAAAGACCAAATAGGGTTCTGTAAGCCAGGCATTCTCTGTAGCTTCTTTTCTGGAAAGTGATGTTGGAGTTATTTCTTCAGAGTCTTTTCTCTGCTTCTCTTCCTAAAATACCACTCTCAATGTAGAGTCCTTGGAGACATGCCCATCACATCTAAGTAAACCCCAGGAAGTAAAGGCCATTTTCAACATTTTTTCACAAATCTTTCCAAAAGCCAACATGAAAGGTTCTGCAGATCACTAGCTGGCCTCATACTTACTAAAAAATAGATAAACTTGCATGGTAGCACTTACCTTTAATTCCAGCACTTGGCAAGCAGAAGCCAGTGAACTTCTGGGTTTGAGGCCAACCAGTTAGAGCCTGTCTCAAAAACAAATTTTAATTAAAAAAAAAATTTTTTTTCTGGGAGCTAAGGAGAAACAACTCAGTAAAGTATGTGCCATATAAACATAAGGATCTGAATTTGATCCCCAGCACTCATGTCAGGTGGGTATGGTGGTCTGTGCTTGTAATCCAAGTTGGGGAGAGGAAAAACAGGCAAATTCTTGGGGCTCACTGCCCTGCCAGCCTAGCCTTAGGTCTCTTGTCTCAAAAAACATGGTGGGTGGAGCATGGTGGCCATGCCTTTAATCTCAGCACTAGGGAGGCAGAGGCAGCAAAGGCAGCAGAGGCAGGCATTATCTCTGGGAGAGCCAAGCCAGCCTGGTCTACATAGCAAGTTCCAGGCCAGCTGGGGCTACGGGGAGACCACCAAAGAGCGAAGGAAGGAAGGAAGGAAGGAGGGGGGAGGTGGGGGGAGGGAGGAAGGATGGATGGACCTCTAGCCTGTACACACATTAGCTACACATACATACACATGAGAAAGTGTTTTCTTTCTCACTGATGTTTTAGAAAGCATAACGAGTTCAGCAAGACTTATAAATGAATTTGTCTCAGAATGATTGCATACTTGTTACATGTGAATACCTATTTTATAAATTATTCAGTATGTTTAGTGGTGTCCCATATATGAGCCACATAATTTTAAAGTACCACAATAAAATTGTAAAAAGAATCGGGTGGAATTAATTTCAGCAATATACTTAATTTGATGTGTCCTAAATATTACCATTGCCATATGTAACCAATATAAAAGTGATTGAAGCCAGGCATGGCACACACATTTAATCCCAGCACTGGGGAGACGGGGATCTCTGAGTTCCAGGCCAGTTGGGGCTACAGGGAGACCCTGTCCCCAATAAATCAAAAAAAAAAACCAGAATGGCAATTTAGCTAAAATCTACTGTATCCAGATAAATAAGAGGTAGTATCTGTTCTCAGAGTTGCTTAATGTAACGTAACTGATCAAACTGTGAAGCAATTGCCTTGGTGACTTAAGGGCAGGAAGCATCTATTCACCTTTCTCAACACAAGTAGTATCTCGCATTTAGGGCTCCAAGAATGCGTCTTAAGACCAGACGGACAAATACCTGCATAAACACACCTGAGGGTATTGAATCTGGAAAATGAGGAGAGAGAGGTGTGTCAGAATTAAGGTATTTTAGAGTTTGAAAAAGAGGAAGGGACCATCTGACTGAAATGTAGGAAATCAAGTGTTTCAGCTACAATATCTTTATAATAGCTCATTAAACAAGAGCACTGTCCAACGTGGCGAGTGACATTTTCTCCAATCCGAGCGCTTAGGACAAACGACACCAACACGCGTCTGGACCACCTCGGGAACTCAGGCGGTTTGGGGACCCGGTAGGGATGGGATGCAGGGAAGCCGCGTGCAAGTCCGGAGGGCATCACGTGGTCGCCCTGGACCCTGCGAAGGCCTTTCGATTCTGCGCGAATTCCACGCGCCCCCCGCGGGCGCCCGTATCCCCGGGGTGGCCGGGAACCTCCGTCGTCGGTCTGCCGAGTGGACTCGCGAAGGCGGAGGAGACAGTCTCCGAGCCGGAAACAGTAAGGACTGCTTCCGGGTCAGGGGGCAGGAGACACCATGGAAGCTCGCGGAGCCGCGGGGCCGCCTGCGCCACTGGCGGGCGTCTGAGGCGAGTTTGACCGCCCGCCGGGGACACGCAGGCTGGTTCCGCAGTGCCGCGGTGGCCGCCATGTCGGTGCTGGGAGAGTATGAGCGACACTGCGATTCCCTCAACTCGGACTTCGGGAGCGAGTCCGGGGGCGGCGGAGACTCGGGCCCGGGGCCCATCGCCAGCCCGGGGCCGCGAGCCGGCGGCACGGTGGAGCAGGAGGAGCTGCACTACATCCCCATCCGTGTCCTGGGCCGCGGCGCCTTCGGGGAGGCCACGCTGTACCGCCGCACCGAGGTAGCGGCCCTCGGCCCAGCGCCCCCCTAGCCCCGGCCGGCTCCTGCTGGCCCCGCGTCCTCGGGCGTCACTGGGGCTGCGTGGGTGTCCACCGCGCTTGCAGTTCACCTGCACTGGGAGTTGCGTGGGTCACTGATGTCACTGTCAGTTTTCACCTGGCGAGCTGAGCAAGCTCTGCACGGTCTTTGAGCTTTAGTTTCCCCGTTTGTAAAATGGACTTAGCGATAAGCACCTTTTAAGGTCTCTATTAACGTTATCTGTAAACCAGACGAAGGTGTTTTGCACACTGAACAAAAGTGGTTTACGATTCTTAAGATACCACCAAAACTTTATTTCCTCTCAAATTGTATAGCTCTCCGAGGTCGGGATGGGAAGAAAGTATATGCTTTAGAATACCCCAGCTAGCAACAAATCTGCTAGTTTGGGTTTCTTTTAAGATCAGATATGATCGCTTAGTTGGGGGTTTTCTTGAAAATCACTAGGTGGATCACAGTGTCTTGGTTTCTTCGCTATTGTTTATACAATGCTTATATATGAGAAATACTTTCTTGGTGTAGTTCTTAACTGTTGAGGGAACAGGGACCCCCCTATCAGACCCAGTAAAGCCAAGTCATCTTCCCCGCCTCCCTGCTTAAATGCACATCCTTTGGATAGATCCATGGATCACTGATCTCCAAAAAGAATGTATGCTTATTTAAAACCCTCCAGTGGTGATTCTGCTTCCAAAAACTAATCATAAGTTGAGTTTAATCACTGGAACCTTAAAGCTCTAGCTTTAGGGTAAGCATTTAATGAGAACTTGCTGAGGTTTGCAGTAGGTGATTCATCCACCTGCAGTTCTAGTGTCTGCTCTGAGCCAGCATTTTTTTTCCCTTGTGCTGGGGGTGAACCAAGGACCTTGCCAGTGCTAGGACGGTGCACTGTGACATACCTCCAGCCCCCTGCGTACCTAGAAGGCTGAAAGACAGGAAAAGTTGTTGCAGGAGAAGATCTTTTAAGTGTTCTTTTTTATTCCAGTACCTCATTAATGTACAGTGTTCAGGTTATTGGCATCTTTAGTAATTTGTATTTTTAGTTGCACTCAAAAAGATGAGTAGTGCCACAATTCCTATTTTCTAGAAAAATTGCAGCAGTGGCTTAAAGTTTGAAATAAAAATCTTTAATCAAGACTAGAGTTACACATCTCCTTGCCCACCCCATTCTTTCATTATGTTGAACTTGATTATTAGGTTTTTGTTTGGGGGGCTTTTTGAGACTTTTTGTTTGGGGGGCTTGTGAGTTCCCAGCTGGCCTGGAACTCACAAGAGATCTACCTGCCTCTGCCTCCCAAGTGCTGGGATTAAAGGTGTGCACCACTGCTCTCACTCTTTATTACTAGTTTTGAGTTAAATTTTATCTCAGTTCCTCAGAACTGTATATCATTATCTCTTATCACTCAATATGAATTTACAAAGGTTATTAGACCAGCCTTTTCCCTCTAGGTTATAGTTAAGTGAGAAAAGGAGTTAGCCATGTTAGTAAAGAACTAGCATTTCAGTTGTATCAGTGAAAAAGAATGGAAGACTGTCATTTCCCTGTACAAGTGCTGAGAATTAAAACTCATTGAATAAATGCATGGTAAAAAGTTCATCAAAGTTTTCCAAAAGAAAAATTTAAGACCTGGCAGAGGCATTCGAGAGGAGTGTTACGTAGGTGAGGGTGCTGGTGGCCTAGGAAGCAGTATTTAGAGAAGTAGAAGTATCACAAAGTGGAGTAGACATTAGATCAGCTTACACGAAAGTGTGACAGGTTACAAGAATTAAAAAAGAGGAGTGGAGATATTCTTATCCAGAAAGAATAAATGAAAGTCACGAGAATTTTAAATCATGAAGTCAGACAGGCTTAGTATTTTCATTTTACAAGTTCCTGTTGTCAAAGCTGTAGATGTTCTCTACTTCCCCAATATTCTGACTCTACCACAGGTACCTCACAGCATCCCTCAGTAGAATCCCTGAGATCTGGTATTTCTAGAACTGATATTGTGTAAATTGAATGTTCCAACAAAGTTTGTTTAAAAAAATTGCATTTTATGTATCTGTGTGGTATCAGAAAGAAACTTTTGGGAATTGGTTCTTTCCTTCCACCTTGCAAGTTCTGGGGACTAAACCCAGGTCATCAAGCTTGGCAGCAAGCACTTTTACCCTCTGAGCCATCTTACCAATCCCTAAAATACCATTTTTAAAAGATTTATTTTTGTTTTTAATTATGTGTATATGTGTGTCAATGTGGGGTTATGTGCACATGACACAGGTGCCGTTAGAGGCCAGAGGCGTTGGAGCCCCTGGAGCTGAAGCTACAGGCAGTTGTGAATAACAAACATGATTACTGGGAACCAAGCCCAGGTCCTCTGCAAAAGCAGTACTTTTAACCACTGAGACATCTCTCCAGCCCCTTAAATAACAACTTCCCCTAGTTCTGCAGTAAATTATAATAATTGTACATGGAACCTTTAAAAATGTTTAAAGGGAGAAATAAAGAGTCAGTCTTTGCCCCTCTAGGTGGTTTTCTTTCTAGGCTTACAGATTGGATATGGATTCATGCACTGCTGGGCAGGAAGAAAATACAATACTCCTGTTACTGTGTTATAGGATGACTCACTGGTGGTGTGGAAGGAAGTTGATTTGACCCGGCTGTCTGAGAAGGAGCGTCGTGATGCCTTGAATGAGATTGTTATTCTGGCACTGCTGCAGCATGACAACATTATTGCCTACTACAATCACTTCATGGACAATACCACCCTGCTGATTGAGCTGGAATATTGTAATGGTAAGGGAAAATTCAGTAGGACTTCCTCTGAGAAACATGCTTATGACCATATTGCCTTGAGGGAAAGAGAACAAGAAAAAACATACAGTGATAAAACTTTAAATGGATTTCTAGAGTTTAAGAGGAATAGTTCAAGTTTTGGCGTTTGAAGATGTATAGAATATGGGAGGGCTTTTTTTGAGATCTTTGTAATACCCATCTTCAAATTATTATTACTGGGTTTTGTTTTAGTGGATTTTGTTGTTGTTGTTTGGTTTGGAGTCTCACTGTAGCTCAGGCTTGTTGAGAACTGGCCTTGAGTGGATGGCAGTCCTCATGCCTCTTTCTCCCCAGTGGTGAGATTGCAGGTGTGAGCCACCGTCACTCCTGCCTCTTCAAATCATTTTTTCAGTCAGATTTTATATTGATTTTACAGGGTTTTTCTCATGGAATGACATTAGTTCACCATTTCAAACATAGCTTGGTCACACAATGTAGTGTTTAATGAAATCTTACAGGTGATTTTTTTATTAACTTGAGCTAAAGCTGTCCTACTGAGAAATGGTTCAAAGATCATAAGTTAATGAAAATGATAGTATGGTGTGTCCTTATTTTTCTGGTTCTTATTTCTTTGGACAAATTTTCTTTTAAGATAGCAGTATTGCTGGATTACAGACTAAGCTAGACGTGGCACACGCCTTAAATCCCAGCACTTGGGAGACAGAGGCTGGAGGATCTCCGAGTTTGAAGCCAGCCTGGTCTATAGACATTGTGAGTACCAGGCCAGCTGGGGCTACAGGGAAACCATGACTCAAAAAGAGAAAATAGACTAACCTCACAACCCAAGTTCCATTACTTTCTGTAGCTTTTTAATCTTGGGCAAGAAACAACTTTATTTCCTCATCTTAAAATGAGTTTGTTAAATCTGAATTACTGTAATATTTTGCATATTGTTAAAACTGTAACTTTAATTGTAAAAAAATATATATAAAATAAAAAAAAACTTAAAAAAATGAACAGTGTCATATTAACCAAGAAAATTAAAAAAAACTTAAACAATCAAAAAAAAAATGAGTTTGTTGTTGAGCCAGGTGTGTTGGTGCACGCCTTTATCCAGCACTCAGGAGGCAGAGGCAGGCAGATCACTGTGAGTTCAAGGCCAGCCTGGTCTGCATAGTGAGTTTCAAGACAGCTGGGGCTACAGGGAAACCCTATCTCAAAAAGACAAAAAAAAAAAAGGAGAGATGGCTCAGCGGTTAAGATTGAATTAAATGAATTTGTAAGGCCTACAGCATAGTTCTTGGTATATAGCAAGTGTTTGATACATGCCTTATTGTCTGCCAGCCTGTTATAACAGAGAATGCCCAGAGTCCATTCCTGAGCTGCATTCCAAGGAGGTACCAGCATATTCATCTGTACCTTTTTTGCCTAGACTGTTGTGTTTCAGGATTGTTTCTGGTTCTCATCAACCCTAAATAGACAAGTAATTTTTGAAATAGCACAAACCTTAAATAATTAACTGCCTTTGTTGGTTAAGAGGAGCTAGGAAAAAAAAAAAAATGAGACTTTTTTTTTTTTAACTCTGCATTACTAAATTACAGAGGAGTAGAAGTTGTAAAACTTTAGCCATAAATTGAGCTATGGGTAGGAAATAAGATGAGCCACAATCAAGTAGCAGTCTGTGCTACTTGATAGAAGAGGAGCAGGGTCACACTCCACAGGAGGAAATGAGTACAAGGAATGATGACTCCAAACAATTTGGGGGGCTAAGGGTAGACCCTAAATTTTAGGAAACCTTTTTGGCACAAAGAAAAAGTTGTTAATAAATGCTATATTTTTAAAACATTGCATTGAGCTGGGCGTGGTGGTACATGCCTTTAATCCCAGCACAGAGGCAGGTGGATCTCTGTGAGTTCAAAGCCATCCTGGTCTACATAGTGAGTTCAGGACAGCTACACGGACAGACCCTGTCTCAAAAAGAGAAAAAAAAAAAAATCTTTAAACCCATTTCACTAGAAGTACTGTAGAAATGGTCTGACTTACTCTCTTCTTTTCTAAATGTTATACTCCCCATTTTTGTATTGATCCTCTTATAATGGGAAAGAGACTTTTGAAGAATATTTCTGGTGTAGGAATAGGAAGAATTTTGTACCTATGTGATGTGTAAAACCAAGATGGAAAAAGTCGTTTCCTTTGGAAAGGAAGCAGAACTCTTCATTTCCTCATCTCACCCATTAAAAACCCTGTTAATGCAGGATCCAAGCTTTGATCTTGATTAAGCAATTCAACCCTGTGTCTTGTTTCATTGTAGGAGGGAACCTGTATGACAAAATCCTTCGTCAGAAGGACAAGTTGTTTGAGGAAGAGGTAATTCATGTGTTTATGGAAGAAGCCAGAATTATATTTAATTCTTGCATTTTGGTTCTGCACTTAACTCTTAGAGTAGGGTTTTGGGGAGGATTCTTTTGTGGGTTTCTTTTTCCCTTTTGTTCAGACTCCTTCCAGACTCTTAAGTTATGTTCCTGAGTAAGGAAAGTTCTAACAAGGCAGCTGTTCCTAAACATTTTACTTCCACATCACAAGTCACTGTGGGCTTTCTTTCTCAGCTCCGTTACTGCATACTGGTATGCCCAGGTTTCTGTACTTTTGTGTTCTTCCTGGGTTTCTTTCTTTAAGTCTGCTTTACCACACTGTATTTTATACCAACATTAGAATTTTTCTATGATGACCTGTCTTTTCTTTTTACCACTACTACTTTCTTTTACCTACTCAGCCTACAAGAAGGGCTATCAAGTCATGTTGAATTGTAACCTCTGGTTACAGCTTCTGTCTGTCTGTCTGTCTGTGTGTGTGTGTGTGTGTGGTGTGTGTGTGTGTGTATTTAAATGAAGTGTTTGTTTCCAATCTAAATATAATTTATTTTGAATCTGCAGATGGTGGTGTGGTACCTTTTTCAGATTGTTTCAGCAGTGAGCTGTATCCATAAAGCTGGAATCCTCCATAGGTAATGAGTGAGAAAAATTAAGGGTTGGAATCCTATCTGCCAATCCAGTTTCTACCCTGAGTATGTCCCATCAGCACATTCATGTTTCTAATGAAGGAGTCCAGGTTTTTCATTGATGTAATTAGGAAAGAGCAAGTAGAGGAAGAAGTTACCTTCACTTTCTGAGGTTAAAAGAGGTTTGTGATCTAGGAAGATCTCCTCAGTAGCTAGATGCCACTTAGTATTTCTTTTAAATGTACCTTCAAATTTAGTTCATTAATTTATCACTAATGCCTAAAAAGTACTATAAGAATTCACAATAAATGTTTTCTCTGTGGAAAAGCAATTGGCAATTGTTGATAATTCTATAGATTCATTTTGTACAATTTTGCCAAGTCTTTATTTGATAAAATTGAGGATAGAGAAGGTTTCTATTCATTTCTTACTATAGAAGAAAACCATTAAGAACCTTTCCACATCATTTTACACTTCCTAAGTGAGGGACCATTACCAGCAATTAATTATAATATGCCAGAGTTTCTTTTCATTAGTTTGTCCATTTAGCTAACCTATATTTCTTAAAAGCTATTGAAGGCCCATATTGCATGTTGTTATTTTCTTTTTAAAAGTGAAGACATATATTGTTCTGATTTATTCACATCTTATCATAAAAGAAGCCAGGGTATGAAGCAGACACAGATTATTTTACATACGGTCAATTCATCTGTAGAAAAGTAGCCAGTGACTTTATTTAGATGATCTGAAATACCTAGTTATGTAGTTGTTAAAACATGCAGCCTCTTCTGCCCTGACAGACTATTTGAAACTTTGACACCAGCTGAGTGTTAGATTGTCTTGATTACATAATTCAAGGCATAAGTGATAGTTGCAAAGCACCTCATGGGAGTATGGTTGCCTAGACCATTCTTTTTTTTTTTTTTTTTTTTTTTTTTTTTTTTGTCTTTTGGAGACAGGGTCTCCCTGTAGCCCCAGCTATCCTGGAACTCACTATGTAGACCAGGCTGGCCGTGAACTCACAGAGATCCGCCTGCCTCTAGACCATTCTTTTTCATCTGACTCTTTTTCTAATAGCATCAGTGGTCTTAGAAACACACCTTTGCTGTGAAGTCTAGAGAGTGAAGATAGTTCTCTGCCTTTGCACCCTAAGCCCCCTTTTAGTGTTAAACTGTGTATGAAAGTGGTAACCACCGTATGGGACATTTAAAGCCCTATAACAGAAACCAAGCAGTATCAACACTTTATACTAATCCCAGCAAGGTAGGATGGGGGTGAGGTAATTGTTACAGGAATTTAATGTGTAGTATCTTCTTTTTCAGAGATATAAAGACATTAAATATTTTTCTGACCAAAGCAAACCTGATAAAGCTTGGAGATTATGGCCTAGCAAAGAAACTTAATTCTGAGTATTCTATGGCTGAGACGGTGGGTATAGGTTGCCTTTGTCTTAATAGTTTAAAGATTTTTTTTTTTTCAATTTATGTGTATGTGTATGCCTGATTCAGTTTATGTGCACCACATGTGTGCAGGTACCCATGGAGGCCAGAGGAGGGCATCAGCTCCCCTGGAACTGGAGTTACAGATGGTTGTGAGCCACCTAGTGTGGGTGCTAGGAACTGAACCCAGGTTCTCCGCAAGAGCAGTAAGCTCTCTTAATGAGCCATCTCTCCAGCCCCTTTAGTATATTTTTCATTACATTTTATTTATTTTGTGTGTGCACATGTGTGTGGAGGCCAGAGGACAACTTCTGGAAGTCAGTTCTCTTCTTCTATCATGTGGGTTCTGGAGATTAAACTCAACTTGACAGGCTTGGTACAAGTTGGCTTGCTTGACTTTACCCACTAAGCCATCTTGGCAATCCTTAATATGTTTTTCTTTTCCTTTCCAGCACCATGGTATATAACTCTGCTCCCTAAATTTTATACAAGTTTCTCAATATTCTTTTTAAAAAATTTTTATTTATGTATGTATTTATTTTTATGTATATGAATGTATTCCCTGCATGTATATAAGTGCACCCATGTGGTGCAGTGCCCACAGAAGTCAGAAGAGGATGTCAGATTCCCCTGCAACTGGAGTTACGGGTGGCTGTTAACCATCATATGGGTGCTGGGAATTGAACCCAGGTCCTCTGCAAGAGCAGTCAGTGCTCTTAACCATTGAACCATCTCTCTAGCCAAAGTTTCTTAGTTCTCTATACTAATAATAAGACCTTCACAGATCTTTTCCCAGGGCTTATTAGTAGTCCCTTATATGATCACGTGTTCTTTAGAGAGTCCCTGTTCACATCTCAACTTTGACCGCATAGCTTTTTCCAGCACTGACTTCTCTAAAAGCAGCAAAATGCTGCCAGGTGTAGTGGTGCATGCCTTTAATCCCAGCATGCGGGAGGCAGAGGCAGGTGGATCTCTGAGTTGGAGACCAGCCTCATCTGCATAGTGAGTTCCAGAAAAAAAACAACAAAATGCTTTGTCCATTTTGTTTTGCTTTGTTTTGTTTTGTTGAGACAAGGTCTTGTTTTTCCAGCTTAAGGTCTTCAGTAGATTTCATTTGATCTCTTATTTAATGTCTCATTTTTTGTGCTCTTTTGAATGGCGCTTTTGGTTCCAAGAGAAGAAGCCCTACATTGCAAGCAAATGCTAATGCCCAGAGATTAATCTGTTTTTCACTAGCATATCAGTCTGTACTGGAGGGCTCCCTTGCCTGATTTTAGAAAGACCATTGCTTAAAAAGCAGACCTAAGCTGATCTTTAAGACAGAAATCTTATCCTTTTAGCAGTATAAAACCCCATTATTACTCTTCTGGTTTTATAATGCTCTACCCTTAAAAGAACTTGGATATGTAAGTTAATAGAATTAACTTTGTCCTGATGTTTTCTGATAATGTCAAGACATGCTTGCAAATAATTTAGACATCTAGGGTTGGGAGTCTGTTTCAGGGACTCTGTATGGTATTGGCCAAATTGAACTTGTAAGGAAGTAATCATGTCTTTAGGCATATTTTTCTCACCAAAATCAGTCTGATAAAATCAAGACTTGACTTATTTTTTAGCTAGTTAAATGGAAGGAAGAATGAAAATGTGTAAATGCCACATAAGCCATTTGAAAATGGATTTGCTTTACTAATTAAATATGTCTGTGTTCTTGGAAGTGGCTTGGTTTATATTCAGAGCATTTTTATTTCCAGACTTTTTTATAATTTTTTGAAACAGTGACTCTTATATAGCCCAGGAAGCCTTGAACTAGAGATCCTCCTGCCTCAGTGTTGGGATTGAGGTGTGCCACCATGCCCAGCCTCCAAGACCACTCTTTTAGATTTTTTTGAGACAGGGTGTCCTATAGTCTAGATTGGCCTCAAACACCCTGTTTCTCTAAAGCAGGTTTTTGTCTCCTGATCTTCCAACTTCCACCTCCCAAAGTGTTGGGATTTTGGCATGTACCACTCTACCCAGTTTTAAAGCCCCTTCTTGATATATTAGTATCACAAATGTCAGCTTGGGCCATTTAAAACATTTTATTGCTTGCATTTCCATTAGAATGCTTAATGACTTTTTCAATTTCTAGCTCCCAGTGCCAGTAGTTAGCTGTTTGCCACTGATAAACTTTCTAAGATCTGTTTTTTATTAGAGAGAGAGAGAGAGAGAGAGAGAGAGAGAGAGAGAAACAGTATGTTTGTGTGTGGGGTGTGTGTGTGTGTGTGTGTGTGTGTGTGTGTGTGTGTGTGTGCAACCATGAGGCAGAGAAGGGACATAGAACTTTGATATAGCATGATCAACACACTTGT